GAATCTGCTCCTGGTCTATTAAATTTGCTCCACGGCTTCGCTCCAGAACTATACACAAACTCCAGATACAATAAGTGTGTCGTGAAGCGATGATTCGTTTATACATCATTTGCGCCCCGGCGCAAGTTCCCGTGAGATTTGCAGAACTAGTGAAGAAATTTTCGCGCAGAGGTCCTTCCTATATGGAAATTACATTCAATATCGTTACGTTGCGCCAACGAGCTAATGCGGAAAAGAGTTGACGAAAAGCTGAGGGAACTCGGGAAAATATTTTCCGAATTATTCATGAAAAATGAGAGATCTTCTCCAATCCAGAGATCTTTTCCCCTGATTGAACCTACTGGATGAAATGCAAATTTGGTGACATTTGCATGTCAATGACAAAAATGACAACAGCAACCTACTGCAAGCAACTAAGGGAAGGGTAGAAAGAGGAGCAGCAGAAAAAAAGAGCAGGGAAAAAATGAGAGTTACGAACCTATGATAGCGTACATCCAGGAATCAAATGAAGTAATTAATGCAAGAAACAAGAGTTTTTGGAAAATGAAGAAGGGATAAGGCTTAACCTTCAAAGAACAGAAAAAATCCGTAAGCGCTTGGTACAAAACAAACATAGAATAGGATGAATTCGCAGGAGTAAGGGTTCATGACGAACCCAAAAGACCTTTTCGAACTTATTCAGTTCTCAAAACTTGAAAGAAAACCCGAAATCGTTCATTTCCCAAACATGCATTTCCATATTTGCAAGAAGATGCACAGTCAAGCCGCAGCCACGAATAAAATTTGTTGGGTTTTCTTATGAGTTACGACTTATGAATCTGCCAATTTTAAAATAACTCTCTAGCCACTCATTCAAGAGAGCAACTTATCACAGTCTTCAAAAATCAGTTCTATCATGTATGAGAAAATTTATAAAACAGCCAAATGTTGGATTGATGCATAATTTTTGCAGCAAAAAAGGATAAGCGTTCGAATACTTTTCCTGATTTGTGTTAAAGAATCCCTGCATACGAAATTCCACTATGTACTAAAGGTGTTATTGGGGGAGCAAGCAGTAACCTTTTCAAAGAAATTGGAAATCATCATTATTTGTAGAAGCCTCCGATCGCACAAATTCCCCTTTGGTGGAAAGACCAGATGATATAAAGGGGAGCGTTAAAAGTTAGTTTCCAATGGACGTTTCACAACTTCAACAAAAGAAATTTCAAGGAACCAACTTCTGAGTGTTTCTCTTAGTCAGCTTTATCGTTGCAGAAATGGTGAGAATGTCTTGAGTTTCGCCTCCCTTTCGCCATTGAAAAACGCAAAATTCCCTAACCACTATTGATCTAATACAGAATTTCGTTAGAATTGAAAGCTACGAATGTTCAGTGCATAAATATGCATCAACATAATAGCTGAGTTGTTACATCATTATCTCATAAAGCAGTAAGCCGCATTACCGAAAAATCCAACATTTCAGATGCTTTCGAATTTAACCACTCTTAGAGATTATTTGAACTTATCTACTTTCACTGCATTACGCATAAGAATATAGCCATTCAGACAAAGCGCATGCACTTCCTTCACAATCTCACAATCAGTGCGCATTTGCTGAAATAGGCTCGCATGAGAATACTTTTTACACGAAATGGCCAATTCCATCTATCTTAATATGGCTTGGCGCTGATTCCAAAACTGCTTTCCATATTATCTGCTAGAGCAATTACTCAAAGGACCATTGCTTCCAAATGTGGTAGTGCTTTAGTGAAATATGGACTTGACTATAGATCCAAATGGAGGGGTAGACACCAATGATATCCCACAATCGAGCATCCCGAAAAGGAAAAAACTTATGGAGACTTATCACTTTCTCAATAGTATAGATAAAAGTTCAAAAACCCAAATAACTAAGAAAACAGAGATGACACAGAAGAATTATGAGGACGTGTCCAAAAGATTGGAAATGAAAAAACATTCCGCCATTCATAATATCCAAGTGAAATGAGCAAGATTTTTCTTCTTCAGAGATCCCAAGGGAGTTTAGAAAAAACGACAGAATTCATGATGGTACAAGAATAGCCATTTGCGTGAAGAAAACACATAGACTGATCTTTTAGCAACAAAGCAACAGCAGCTAAGCAGTGTCGAGGCAAACTGGGAATCTAAACTTCTTATACTGTTTGACCTAGTGCACCCAAATTTCTGTTCGGGGGGCGACCATCGAATGAAGGTAAATGATGTCAAACATTTCGACAATTTTTCAGACGCCTGTAAAAATATGACTTAAATTTCGGAATTTTCAGGAAAGGGGGCGTGGAGACAAGCAGACACCCGAAAAAAAATTTTCGATAGTGAATTGGAATTTTTGAAGAGTTTTCAAACTTGTTTCGATATTTGCATTCAAAAGTTTGACCTAATCATTGGCACACTTTCGTAACCAACATAAGTAACTTACAAAATCCGCGACCCAATCGCGAGAAGGAAGGGGCACTTAATCCGCCACTTGTTTGCCCCTAGCTAAACCAATGCCCAGACGGTACTGTTCAATTTTCTAGAGATTTGACAAACTAGCGCAGATTGAACTTTCTACCGTACTTGAGGGAGCTGATTATTCAGCTTGGAAAGAATACGGTAAGGGGGAATAGCCATGCTCTGCTAAGAATGAATCATATTATTATAGATAAGCCTTAAACGATGGCTCAGCTGACGTTTCTCAGACCGTAACCTTCAACAAAGAACCAGGGAGTGGGAGAGTCACAAATTTTTGGGCGGAAATTATGAAACTACGTAATTTTTTTT